TATTTTTGTTAGAAGCTGGACGTAATCTTTGTCTTGTGACATGAATTAAGACATGTGTTTATATTTTTTTTTTTCCTTTCTTGTTTTATTTTTTTTATACTAACTTTAATCTTTTTTTGTTTCAAATGATCTATTATCTAAAAAATATTTTTAATTATCATTTTGATAAGATGATTTTAACAACTTTATTTATTTTAAGACGATATTTCTTAAAAGAATTATACATTACTTTTAAACAAAGTTTTTTTAAAAAAAATTACAATCTCAAAATCATACTTCTTGAATGTCAATTTAAAAAAGTAATCTCAAATTCGTAAAAAGTAAGATCTAATATTTAAAATTATAATTTTAAGAAGTTTTTTTAACTTATTTAAAATATATGCATATTTGTTGCCTTAACACATAGTGTATTTATGATGATTTGTCAGTATTTTTTTTTAAACATTTATCTATATTTTAAATGAGATTATTATATTTATGAAAAAGTAAAATAATTTTCGTCACAAGATTTATAACATTTGTTGCACCAAAGTAATACAAAAGATTACTAATATTTAGATTTCAAGTAACATGAGTATTGTTAGAAATGCTAATATATTAGAAGTTTCCTTAAGTTAATTTTATCTCTATTTTTAATAAGAGTATCAAAATTAGTTTTTTAATAATTTTTAAATATCATTTTGGTAAGATGATTTTAACAATCTTGTTTATCTTAAGATAATATTTCTTAAAAGAACTGTATAAAATAAAGTTTTAATTTTTTTATAAATTAATAAGATTGTATTTTTTTTAAAAAAAATTATTTAAAAATTATATCCAAAAGCAATGAAAAAAACAATATAATCTTAAGATATACAAAAGACACTTCAACTTGCATATAAACTGTCTTATATCGTATCAAAATAATCCAAAAGTTATTACTATCTAAAGTAGCCCACCTTCTTGACCTCCCAATTAATATCACTTCATCCACTATAATGACACTTTCTACAAAGTGTCTCGGACATTAGATCAAAGTCAACATAGAAATATATATTTTTTGTTATAATATACTAAGTATTATGTTTGTTTAGATAAATAGTGTAAAGTGGGAGTTCAAAACTCTTATCAGAACTCATTCAACGTTGGTATATGCATCCTTTATGTATTCCATACCTATAAATTTATAATTCTTGAAAAAAAAAAATTCCTTCTTTCAATATCATTTCTACTTACCTCATAATTAATTTGGAAAATTAAATTTTTAACCAAACAAATACACTCAGAGAACAGACCACTAGGTTTACTTGGTCTCTTGTTAATTTTGAACTCCATTATGAATTCTGATTAGATGAGTTGGATATCTCACTTAGATCTTTTTCATTGCACGGCCATAGATGGATCAAATTTATTTATAAATTATATAAATAATAATAATAATAATAATTTAACTTTACCTCAATTGTTATGAAGTAATTCAAAATTCAATCATTTTTCATTTATAGTTAGTATTAATTCTTTTACTATGTTTTAGTGTTTTTTCTTCATAAAATCAAACAACTTTTTTGCTTAAATTTAATTTGATGTTACATATTATCATGTATAAATTATATTTGATGTTACCTAATGTATAATTAATTTTTTGGGTAGGCTCTGAGTCCCGTTTATTAACAAAAAAATTATATTTTGGGATTTGACTCCTCTAAAATAAGCGGACATGTAAAGTGAAAAAAGTAAAAATCTATCTATATTTAATTTTAAGTTGCATATATATATATACTATATTTTAATTTAAATAAAAAATAAATAAAATATCACATTCTTATTTTACACAATTTTTTTACTTTAGAGAAACTCAATTCATATTTTTAATATTATAACGAAACGATATGCAATAAAAGTGAAATAAGAAAAAGGACCATCACTCTTTAATTCGAAGCTAAATCTCTCTTATTTTTAAAAGGTTTCACAGTTAAAAAGACTAAAAAACGAAGAACAAGTTAGCTTATATAGTCCAATCATGACCGATTGATGGAGACTCCAATGTTTCAGCTCCCCTCATATTTCACAACGTTAAAAGCAATGGAGATTCTCTTAACCTATGATGTGGAGATGCTGAGCAACACAAGATAAGGGCCAAAACACCACCATCCCAAAAACTTCGATGGAAGTAGCACTGTACAAAATATATGGTTCCAAACCAAACATATAAAAATTGGGTTATGAAACAAACCAGTTTTATTAAATGAATTATGAAAATCTATCAGATCCAAATCGGGTTGAGAATGAAATAGGCGTTCTAGCCACTTCAATTCATATGGTTTGAAGGAATGCAGAAAAAATAGCCCGTTATGGCCACCGGAAGGTACCAAAACTTGTGGGTTGGGCTGATCAAAATCTTTCCAACCGTCAGGCTCTTGGACCAAAAACATAAGGCATCACAATTCTGGTAGGAAATTTCTAATTGGTAAGAATCTTTGGTCCAAAAGCGCAGAAAAGGTAATTACTTATTCAAATTTGTTTCTTTTCTTTTGATTTTTTATTTTATTAACTTTATTTGATTATTTTTTCATCATTTTTTATACAATTCATAAATAATTAATATTTTTATTTTTAATAATTAATGCTTTTTTCTTGTAACGACAATAAATAAGTGAGATATTAATGACATAATAGATGAATGATATAGTAAAAAATTAAGTGCTTTTTTTATATAAATTTTAGAATACTAATCATTTTTGTAGTTTATGCGTAAAATCTTAAAAATAGAAAAAAAAAATCAGAGTACACAATGTTAACTCTTACAATTATAAATTAAATTGCAAAACCAAAAATAATAAACCTTTCTTTTTCAATATCATTAATAGAATGTTATCAATATCAAATTATACAGTTGTTAGTACCTTTTTTTTCATATTTATAAATTTAAAATTCACAAATATAATTTTTTTTCAAATTATATCAAATTAATAGGTGTTTCACATATACTTTATATACATATATTCAGGGAATTTTTCAATAAATGCTACTGATTATTTTTCCCACAAGATATTTTAGTCTCCATTTTGACATTACCAACAATATGCTCTTTCCCACAAGATACACTCATTTGCGCCAATGTCTAAGTACAGTAGAGGGAGCAAAATCTAAATGGAATAAAATTATATCAACCCAAATCAGGACTATATATATGTGTGTGCACTAAAACCTAAATTTATAAAATTATAAGGAAAAAACCAAAGACCAAACTTTAAGCTATAGAAACTAAAATCATAGTCAAGATAAACTGTAGGGACAAAAAATATATTTAAATCATATTTTTAACGTGCATTTTAAGGTGTATAATTATTATTTCTTGTGGGAAAATATTAGGTAATTTAATGTAATAAAAAAAAAATTAATGTGACACTTTTTATTAAAAAATTATTATTTCTTAAAAAAAAAATTTTTGAAACATTAAGAAAGAATAATTATTTTTTAAGGTATAAAGATCAGAAAAATATGTTTAGTTTCTTCCAAAAAGATATTTTTTTATACATATAACAAAGAATCTAATCTTAGTCAATTTGCTCAAGAGAGCTAATTATTTACTGTGTTAAGCTTTGTTAGTTGATTCACAAAATTTATTTTTATAATTTATTCTTAATTTTAAATTTTTTTATCTTATTAATTTATTATCATATTATAAATTTAAAATTTTATTTTTTAATTTATTTGTATATAATAAAATAAAATCTTTTATGCTGAGAGGACATTTATTATTGTATTTTTTTCACTGAAGATATGTTTAAGAGGAGAATTTTAGAGGAGAATAGAAGAGAGGACATATTTTTTAATTGTAATTAAAAGAATTATGTATTGTCTATTATAATAAATATATAATTTATATATTAAATTTATATCAATATATTAATTTATATTGTTTTTTGAGAAGGTCATAAATCGCTTCACTTATAATCAGAAGAACATTGCAGGACAGCACATGTAACATCATAGAAAATGTTAAAAAAAATTGACCAAGATTCCTTCTGTCTTAGTGACTGAGGGATTCATGATTGTTATAACATCCATCTATATCCTTCGTTCTTTAGTTACCTTGATTCTCTTCCAGCTGTTAATTATTTCATACATATTCTTTCTTGCTGATTTCATCAGATCATCAATATTCACTTTTTACCTTGAATTCTTTCACTTCAATAACAGTGATTTCGAGAGAAGAAAAAGCTCAGCACAAAATCAAATTGCTCACTTTAATGATCTTTTCAATTATGCCATATGTCTCCTACTACGTCATGCTGATTGCTAAATGGTTAATCATCATACTATAGTATACCCACTAACACAAAGTCTTAATTTGCAACCTTTAAATAATCACGATACAAAATCACAGGGTAATGTGTTAATAATACACCGTCCAATTTGTGAGATCAATCTTTCAATTATTATTTTCTAATCTTGCCCCACGTATCCTCTTCATTTATTTTGAATCAGAGTTAAAACTAAGCTTCCTCTCGCTTACCACACTCTTCCTTTCAAGTTGAACTATGGAGATGCATAGCTAACATTGTGAAACAAAGAATGATTATTCCATGGAGAGCTCTCAAGGGATAATCCTTCTTAATGGACTAGACTTCATTGATTTAATCACTGCTTAAGAAAAAAATTAAGGAAAACATATAATATTGAAAAAAAAAAAAAAGGACATACAACGCAGTTGTTTTAGGTTCGTTGAACCAATATACATCGAATATATGAATAATTTAAGGCTGCTGATTCATACATCCAATAGATTAAAAAAATATATTAATAACGCAAAAAATTATATTTTCTATGAACCTCTTTACATGCTACAGTGATAGAATGCACATCCTCTTGGGTTTCATCTGCCGTGAAACCAAGGTCAGCTAATTTAGGAAGGAGAAACGATTTTCTGGAATTATTTTGGACAGCATCATTTTGCGTTTCACGCTGAAAAATTTAGCATTTTGATTTTCCTCATTTTTTGCACAATTTATGTTCCGTATGAAAAAGTGCAATTATCAGCTGCTATACAATTTGATTGATCTTTCTAACAACTCATGGTTGTTGCTTGAAATTTCTTTAACCCTTGATCCATTCTTGTATATTCTGAAGATTGGGATAGAGTTCACACCTTCTGACTTTGCTAAGTAGGGGTGGTCTTCAATCTCCACCTAAATATTGTAACTAAGTTGTAAGCAACATTGAAAACGACAGAGAAACAAATTTAGAGAATTAATATTGGTGAAAGTTGTTTTTCTTAATCACAGTTAGTAGCATTTGGTAAGTTAAGTAGTTCTATTTTTTTTCCTTAATCTACTCCTGCAAGAGAAAAATTATTTTTTTATCTCACATGCTTTTCCAATGTTACAATCCTACCTGTTCATGTTCAATAGAGAATCCATGATTCTATGTTCTAAGAACTTTTCAGTTTATATTCTCACAAGTTGTAAAGTCTAAATCATATAAAATAAACCAACCTTGAGGAAATTAACTGATGGGAATCTCTTGCTCGTTTCTTCCAACATTAGCAACACTTGCTTGCGGGTTGTCTTGTTGCTAAAGAGCACCACAGCCATCCCTATTCAATAGCCATCCAAACTGGTTAGTGTATTTGTAGTGCTCATATGCAACTGTATAACTGAATAAGCCAAATGTGCCTTACCAGGTGAAGTCACATAATGTCTGAACCGATCATTACTTGAGATGAACACCAAATTAGAACCAAATTTCAAGTCCTTAATATCTTCACCGTGCAGAATCTTGACTTGCAGCTGAGCTTCAAACAAGGCCCTCGCCACTTCCTCATCCCCTGGCTTTTCTCTTAATAACATTTCATAGTCTTGAATAGCTGCTTCCCACCTCTCCAACTACATGCATCAAAAAAGAAAAGAAACAACAAAAGGGTTATCATTAATTGCAAACAAGTATCTAGTAAGAACTAAATATTAGCATTGAAAATAAAGCACCTTGGCATTACAATCTGCCCTCCTTAGCCTTGCTTTGTTATAACATGGTTGAACCATAAGTGCTGCATTACAATCCTCAATCGCTTTTTCATATTGGCCAAGCTTAGAGCGACATGCAGCTCTGTTGCATAGTAGAACTGAGTTGTGTGGATCATGCTCTAGTCCTTCGTTGTACACAGCACATGCTTCCATGAATTTTATTGCCTTGAAGAGTAAGTTTCCACTCACTCTAGCTGATGTTACTGCTCTAACCCTCCTTAACACTGCATTCACCTCTCTGTTGCTTGGATCAACTTTAGCTGCTTGTTGAGCTTCAGCCACAGCATCCTCAAACCTGTTAAGTAGCAAAATTCAATTCAACTTCAGATTCACTACTAATTAATCTCAGAAAATGTATCATAATTGATTACTGAGTATAGTTATATGAATAAAAGCATTAGCAGCTAGCGGCCAATAATTCACTTTGGTTTGGTGACTTGCGAATTTGGTTAAGTGACAACAGGCATGGCTATCTAAAACCAATTTGTAATATATTATAGTATTTAAACAGGGAATCATTCTCGCAGTCAATTAAATGAAAATAAATTTGATTTCTAGCTTTCTGTTATAGAAAAACATAGGGAAGCAAATTTATCAGTATTAATTAGCCTGCTTGGCATATCAACAATCAATGCTAGTAGCCAGTTACATAAATTATGATCAAAGAATTCATCAAATATAGCTTTTTTACTGACCTGCCGGCTGCCAAGTAAACCTGTGCGCCTATTATCAATAAGTACGCACTGCGAGCCAAGCCGAATATCTTGTTACACCAATCAAGTGAATATTTTGGCATTTTCTCATAGATGGCATACGCCTCTTGATATCTTAGGAGCTTCAGCAAGGCTTCAATCTGTAAAGCATAGACCTACCATACATAAACAATTTGTAATTGATTAGCATGAGTCATTTAGTAGCTGAGTGCTCTATTACACCAATATAAAGGGAATTCTAGGATATTGCCCAGTTGACAGCGTCATGGGCCAACTGAACGAATTTTGATACAGAATCCAAGATTAGAAAAACAGAAGAAAATTATATGGGGTCTCATAAGCCTCTAAAAATAAGTGTTTGATCAAGAAAGTGACTAACCTGTGGAGCTGAATCAGCACCTAAGGATATTGCAGACACTGTTTCCTTCAGTACGACGCCCCATTCATTGACTTTTCGTGCTTCTATGATTTTGTTAAGGTGATTCTGAAGAGCCTTGGCTTGGAAAGAAAGTATTGAATCAGCATATGAGGTTGACTGGTTGCAATCCAGTGCTTTTTCTGCTTCTCCCAACCTGCATTGAGATTTGCAATTCTATAAGGAAAAGTAATAAAAACAAAACACTATATCATAATTCAAAGCACACATAACATGTATCTACTAGTTCTTGCTACATTGACTGAAGCATTCATATTTCATCATCGTCATCAAGTACCTGAAATATATTGTTGCCAAACGGTTGTGGGCTCTGACATATGAAGGGTCCAACCTAATAGATTCCTCACATTCAAAAATTGCTTCTTGAAGCCTTCCTAAGCCAATTAAAGCTGCACTCTTGTTGCAATGATACGTTGCCTTATTTGAATCAAGAGCAATTGCTCGGTCATACAAAGCCAAAGCTTCTTCAAATCTTCCTAGCTTGTATGCTTCATTTCCGACGGACTTCAACAGCTCAGGGTCCACTTTGTTGTGTCTTGGACTCAAAAATTTTGCAAAATCATTGCTGCTGCTGTTCTTCCTCATGATATTCCCCATCAACCCTTTGCTTGCATTGCTATAAGAACTGGGCACAGAGTTCAAATCTGCATTTTTAGGCATGTATTCCACACTCTTTCTTCTTGGGGTGTTATTCACAAGCAAATTCCCGGTGAGTTTCAAGTTACCAAAGTCTTTGTTTGGGGACTTGATACTCACATTGTCTCTCTGATGACTAGTACTTATCCTAGCAAGTGCAAGAGAAGTTCCAATGGGATCTCTGTGTGGCTTGCTCTCATAATTCTTGTCCTTGTTTTGTTGAACCTTTGTTTGAGTTGAAGTTGAACTGCTAGTGGATGATGATGTTGAGCTTCTGGCAGCATCTGACTGTCTTCGGTTTTGATTGTTTCGAAATGTAGAAGATTGTGGATTAATAGAGGCACTCTTTCTAGCTGTTTTCTGAGCTTCACCCAGTTTATGTGGCTCAGTGAGTGCAGTGTCTGTGGAGCTTCTTTGTGGAACCTTTGATTCATCATTTGGTGACTTTTTATGTTCACTTTTGCCATGATCATTCATTGCATTGTCACTAGCCTTCAAGGGTAGTGAGTGAACAGATGCTTTTCTCAGCTTGTTGTTTTTGAGTTGGAGAATTCTCCCCATGAGACCACAACCCAATTCACTCCCCACCTTGTTGTTCTTTGCCTTTGTTGCCATGTTTTTTTGTAGTGTGTGTCAAGAGAAGAGGTATGTGAAGTATCTCAGAAACAACTATTATTTTCTTGTTTAGAAGGAGGGGGAAAAATAAAATCAAGCAAAGAATAAAGCACAGAAAATGAATGAGAGGTTATGAAAGAGAAATCATAAAGTGATATCTTGAATACGAAGCACTTTATGCAAGAAGCGTGCCCTGTACAAGATGTTATGTGCATATATATATAGCCTTATAGAGTGGCTTCCAAGAAACTACTTTAGCTGTTTCCACGGCTTTAGGTACACAAAAAGGGCAAGGTCGATGATGAAGAGAATGGTAATATGTACACATATAGGGAAAATACATAGGATTTCTGGGACTGAAGTAACATAAGACAGGGGTGAGAAGTTAATTTGATTTCAAAGATAAAACATGCCAAAAGAAACATCGAGGATAAAAATTTACACTTCTTGCATCGGATTAAAAATGCTATTATTTTGCATATGGTCATCCATTATTACCAGTGAACCCAAAGCAGATAACAAAAATTTAATCACTGTGTAATTATGTGTCTGTGATGTCACTAGGAAAGAAAAATATTATCCGCAGAATATTGCTTTGGTCATATATTATTAGTTTATATCATATCAGTTAGGATGTACCCGCGTCGAAGGCCCCGCCTTGAATTAATTTAATTAAAACAATAATTTAAAGCAAAGGTTTATAGTATTATAATAATAAGGCTTGTATCACCATCATATGGACCAAATAGAAACATATTAGAATACAAATGTTCGTTTCATCAAGCGCAGCTAACCTCATAGAACCTTCTTATGAATTATAATTATATAGAACGTGTCTTTGCAGAGACAATTAAATTCGTTCCTCATTGATAAGAAACCATATCTGACCAGGAGCTTTAACTTGAAAATGTTAGATTAACTCTCATAACATGTTAATTTTTTTCACTATTGCTTTCAAGCCTTGAATCCTAAATGTATACCCTGCTTTAATCATGCTTTGTTTGTCGCATATTATTTTGAAAAAATTAGTAACTCTGTGGTTTACTTTTAATTTAATTTGGTAGATGAAAATGTATAATCATGTTGACCTCTTCAAAAATTAAATAAAAAAAGCACTTTCTTTTCTTTGGAAGCACAGAGAGTTGAGGGCCCAACAATTGCCCATTTCTTTTTCTGGCAATTTATTACTGTGTTGGACATCTCTCGCTTTCGGTCTGTCTATTTTAAATTTATGCAAATATGTAAACAACTGGAACCCTTTGTGTGGTTTGTTAGGTAAGAGGTATGTTTATTTATGGTCTTTCGTAAAAAGTGTTGTTGAGGAATTAAAATATGTTTTATTAAAAACACATTAAAGTTACGGTAAAACTGCATTTATAATATTTTTACTATATATTTTTTTAATCCTTATCTAATATTCTTAGAATATTTATTTATTTATATACATGCTTACTTTGAACCAATCAAAGATGCATAAAATGAAACTTACTGTTGAAGCTGAATGCAGTAAGATGTGATTATTGTAATTCCGGGGTATTTGATAGAACTTTCTTTTATTTCTCTTGAGTTTTTCATACGTGTTAGTGAATGATAGGTATCAAAAGAATAGGTTACTTGCAGTTGGAACTCTTGAGTTCGGAGCCAACACTTTTTGACTTGAAATAAAGCATGGAGAAGTAAATATATTGTTAGCGTGCAAGAGTGGTCCATTTCCGTTGTAAATTCTCAAATACTTAATAAGGATGAACTTTAAATTAAAGCTTATTGTTTCATAAATTAATTTTGTGATTTTCTAATGAGAAATTCTAATTCACATGACATTCTCACAATACATTTTAAAATAATGAGAGATAAAATTAATAATGCGAAGAAGAAAGATTAAGAAGGAAAAGTATTGTGAACGTTTTACGAAGGAGTATAATTATTTATTTTCAATTATGCTATCTGTACGATTTTAAACTATAGACTGCATTGCCGTATCATACAATGTAGCCGCAACATCTCAGTTTTGGTGGCTATGACACTACATCACAGTGCAATTGCAGGCTCCCACAGCACAAGCTGAAAAGCTATAATTGTTTTGTAACTCTTATTTAGAACATTGGCCGATTATATTATGGTTTTAATTGCGTCAATGCATTATAGATAAGCTGGTTATTTAATTAACTAAGTGATGCCATGTTCTTTTAAAATGTTTTCCTAATTTAATAAAAAAAATAGATAAATTAATGTCATAAAAATATGTCACTCATAATTATGATAATGATTCTTTTTATTTTGTTGTGACAAAAACTAGTAGAGTCATCCATTTGAATTGGGTTAATGAGGTTATTGTGGGAACAATATTGAATAAAAACAATGGCCACATAGGCCAAACCATCATATATAATTGTATCTTTTTCCTGGAGGTGAAGAATTGATGACACAAACTTTGTTACATTAGCTGTTAACAACTTCCCCCCATTGAATTTTAGGTTTTTTCTCTTTTTGATGTCCCCACATTGAAAAATTAAAGCATAGCATTTGGTGTTGGTTCCTAATTATGAATTATGATGGGTGTTTAAATTTGTTGCGGAGCCACAACCACTGAGGGCCTTTTTCCCAAATTCAACGTTTAGATACTTGTCAAACCAATTGGGTAATTTGTTTTCTTTTTCACCTCTTTCCTTTGGATATGACAAGCATAGCAATTTTGCTTACCCACAAGGCCCCGCTAGCTTTCCACCCAAGTTGAATCCTCACATTTCGATCAGAAACCATTTCATATTTTGGTACCCTTTTGCCACCTTCCTGTCTATTCCATTTTGGAGGTTGGTAAAGATTCTTGCCTCTTGTTTTTATGCGACACTGAAACATGTGGGATTTCACTCGTTTTCAATAGATACGATGTGTTTGGGGCCATTCTTTCCAATGAAATCAGAATTGAGATTTTATCTGAACCATTTGTCCACAACTCTGCCCCTATCCTGTCTCCTACTGCTGTCGGTGCCTGTTTCTAAACATTCTCCATTACCCTGCATTGAAGGCACACCATAAATAATATTCAACGGTAATATATTAGAAATTTGAACATAATTTGTTCAAACTTCTGGTACGTGAAGTCTGTAGAATTGACCTTTTACAGATTATTTAACACTCAAAGTAGATAGGTTTTGATTTTATATTTAAAAATTAGACCTAACTTATTCCTAAGAAGATAAGTCATTAAAAGAGAATTACTCAAGCTTTATAAAAAATGCTTTGATAATATTTTTATATTTTTAACTGTGTGAGACATTATAAAACAACAAAACTACAATTGCAAACATGTCAAACTTAAAATCCATGTTAGCATAATGTTATTATTATTATTATTATTATTTTCTTTTGGGGATCATGAAATTTGACAGAATTGAGCAGGATTTATATGAGGGAAAAAAAAAAGTATATACATATATCCGCGTGCGTGCGAGTGTGTGTAATGTCTATGAAAATTTAATTAAATTTAAGCAAAGAAAGATTTTTAACGTCCTATTATTAAACTAGCTAGCAACTTGTAATTCATAATTGAAACATCTAGTTAAAATTAATAAAGTAAATAGAACTTAAGCATGTACCATGCAGCCTGAATTTGTAGAAATCATTCAATTGGCACAAGAAAAACAAAAGTCAACCCATTTTCAATGCTAGATAGAACCTTATGCATCTCAATTCACAATTAATTTATGCAAACAAAAACAAAGAAACATGTAAAGACACAAACTGCATTTTTTCTCATTCAGCGAGAAAAGTAACATTACATACTCATAAGGATCGCACAAGCATGCTTTCTGACCTTTTCAAAAATAGTCAAACTTCTACGAGCTAGGAGCAGTTGGATTGTCTATCTCCAAGGATTTGTTTCTTAGTCTTCAGAACAATTAGAAAAGGCGTGGTAGGTTGTACAGCCCCATATACACAAGCCGAAATAGTTTTGAATATTTCAAGTTCAAACCAAATACAAGGTAGGAAACAAAAGAACAAGAGAATTGCCTTGTCGTCACCGTCGGTGTCAGTGGGATAATAATGAGTTGGTGAGTCCAATTCTAAGCATTATAATAACAAAAGAAGGTAGGGGTGGTGGGTGAAGAAAAAGATGTGACATATTTTAAATGCATGCACTTGCTGAGTCCCCTCCCTTTTCCTATCTCTTTCGCTAAATTCTGATAAGGTGTCCAACTCCATGGTTCAAACGAGAGAAGTTAGTGATCACAAAAACGCTGAACCCGCGTGCGTGTGCAATGATTGGCACCTAATTGCAGCATCATATAAATATGTTGCGTTTATAATTAACAAAAATTACACGTGCCAAGAAGGACTACACTAATCAATGACTTCATGATGAGAGGCTGAGAGAGTGAGAGGTACATAATAACTACATATCATCAAGAGTATCGTGTTATATGTAGCTCTCCCTTTAATTTCTACTACTGTACGAAATACTGAAATAGAAAATTTTGAATTGATTTGTTAATTAATCTTGTGTGACATTTAAGTTTCTTATGCTGAGAGGCTAGCTAATAGTTAAATAAAAATGTGAATCATGATTTAATGATCATGAATTATTAGATTGTACGCATCAATAAGTTGTTTACAATAACCAAATAACGGCAGTATACATGCACCAATTCAACTTTTTATTCTGAATTAGCTAACTTAAAATTGAAATTCAATCAATATCACTTTAAAGGAAAAATGTCGGATCAAAGTAATACTTTTGTTTCTGTTTAACTGTATAGGTCAAAGTTTAAGATAGTATTAATTTTTTTTAATATTCTTTTTTTATCCTATAGGGATTCTAAGCCCAATAAATAAAATACTTACACTAGTTAAGTAGTTTAAAGATCAAAAGACCTAATTTTGTTTTAGACAGATAAATAAGAATGAAGTATTATTATTATTTTATAAGATTAATAAATTTTTAGGACCAAATTTGTGCAGGTTGAAGAAGAAAAAAATATACAAACTCGTCTAGTAAAAATACAGCGT